TAATAACTCCGATATGCATCAAAATAATGGGTACAAAAATTATAGATGTACCCTACGGGTACATCTATATTAACTCTAGTTATAAATAATTAGTAAAAATAAATTTGTAATTATACCAATTTTGTGACTATAGAGAAGGTGATTATAGAGGGGTTTGACTATATACAAATTCATCAAACATTTTGCTTACAAATATCGGAAAGATGACTCGATATACCTTATGATTAAAAAATCTACAAATACTGTTAAAGATGATATTTGTGAGTTAATAAAAACAATTGAAAAATTAAATGAGAAATTAGATAAAGATTTACAGAAAGAATCATAACCTTTTTAATCACATTAATTTTTTTTATTATGATAGTATGATAATCGATCTTTTATGATTGTTTGCTGTGTCTACAAATGTATCGATTTTACTAATTTCTCCCTAGTTTTGATTGGCAAATATTAAAGAAACGAAAAAATGAATCAAAGCGAAATTAATTTAAATTTTAAATGTAAAATTAAAATGAATGGTTTAAATGCCTTAAATATTATTGTATAATTCTATCTAATATATAATTTTCATATGTTAAACACAATCTATTCAATATTTAACCTTTTGCACATTTGGCTCCATATTTAATATTAATATCTAGCACGAACTCTCATAATATAACAGTATTATTCTATTAGAGCATCTGTTTGTAACTACGTTATAAACATTTTATTATCTACAAATTACCGGTATATAAAAAAATAGCGCTTCTTAGATTATTCATTGAATAGCAATTCAAATAAGCGATAGATTAATATATAACCATTCCAATAATGTTAAATTATTACTCCAACATGAATACGTAGAAAGCAGAATTGAAATATTAAAGAAATAGAACAAAAAAACGTATATATTTTGTTAAGCAAGTGCAATAAGGCATGTTTAATATTACTTATGCAATTTTGCAATGAATCTGTATATGCATGATTACGTAAATACTATCTCAATGATAAGTCTGTACGTAAAACTCATCGAATTCAAAATTATCATATACATTAATTGAACCTATGAGACTCATATACCACCAATTTATTATAAATGCTTTTTTAACAACACTGAATTACTATATTAATATTCCTTTTTCAGATTCGTTCGTAAATTGATTATTTGACGAAACTGCTGTAGAAGTATTTGATTTTTGAGAAGTATCATTATAAACCATATGCGATGTTAACAGTTCATTGATTCGTTATTTATTTTAATCTTTTTGTTGGGTAATAGCATCGATCGTTTAGCCACTTGTTTCCTTAAACCAGTTGGAATTACTGCTTGTTTAGGTGCTTCATCCACCAATAACGTTCTATCTTCATAAGGTAATTGAACAGTAGCAGGCATGCTATGAATGATATGATGCAAAATGTAATATCGTCCTGCGATTTCAGACAAATCCACTGTATATTCAAAATTTTCTTCATTCAACTTAACCAGCATTGGTACATTTCCGTCAAATTTCATAGACGGAGCCCTGACGAATATGTCGCCACTCAGTTGAATTTTGTTCGAGGCATTAAGAAAAATGGTATTTATTTTAAAAATTTGCATTTCGTCGTTATAATCACGCGAAGGGTGCTTCAAACGAACATAATCATTTTCACGCAATAGCTCAGAGCCTAACAAAATGTTCCTATAATGCGGGTACGATTCCATTTCTTGTAACAACCTTTTTTCTTCCATATTCTCAATTTTTAACAAATACATGGGTTGCAGCATATATTTATATTGTTGCAATGGTGTAAATGTTGAAGCAATCTTTTTAGCTAAAGCAATAGCCTTGAGATAAGCATTAGCCAATCCATTCTGTTTTGAACTCTCAAGCGATTGAATATGATTTGAGCTCTCAAGTGATTGCATATGATTTGAACTCTTAAATGACTGAATATTATTCGAGCTCTCAGGTAATTGAATATGATTTTGATTTGAACTATCAAGCAATTGAATATGATTTGAATTCTCAAGTGACTGAAGATGATTGTTGTTGTGCATTATGTCTTCGATCATTTGCGTTAGATCTGAAGAATTATAAGCTAACCACGGCAGAATAGCTTTATGTGGTAATTTCATTGTTCCAGGTAACATCAATGGCCGCAAAACATAAAGTATCACATAATTGTTATCTTTATTATCAGAACTATCAAGGTCAGCCTTTGAACGTTGATGAACTAATGCTGGCCAATACTTGATCTGATTACCTCCAATTTCCTTAGATAATGCCTCATGCTGACTTGAATTTAAGATATATTCTATATCTCCCCACACAATTTCTTTGCATCGGTACATATTAATAAATTTTATTGAGCTTTCATTTGTATCATTATTGAGTATACTGGCTTTTCTCTTTTGTACACTAGGTTTTTTTGATGATTTTGGTGAAGATGCGAAGACAGCTTCTAAAGTAGCTGATTTTTGACCTCCACAATATCTACAATTGCAGGAAACAGCCTTATCCGAGGCTAACCACAAAAGATGATCTTTAAATTCTGCCGGTGAACGAAATTTTGCACCATTACCTAAAAATGTTTAATCAATTAGTACATAAAAAAGTAAAACTGAAACGACCTTAAGCGAGCATCATATAGTTTAGGATAAAATTTATAAGGTGGTAGATATTCATGTGATACTAATTCCTAATTTGGGCTGCCCCAAACAATTTATGATATTTACATTATCTATCGATTTTACACAAAAATTATATTTTCTAACACATGAACCCAGGTTTTGGCTAAATTAAATCAATGCATTTCATATGATGAATACGAGTTGGCTTCATCAATTGCCTATAGATATGTATATGAATCGAAATTACCGTATAAATATGTATCTGTCCTTGTGGTTTTAGGTTTCCCTGACTCATCAGGCGGATACTGTTTAATATGATCGTATAGCCCATATCCATCTGGTAGATCAGTCAAGACAGCTTTATAAAAAAAAGTTTCTTTGGGTTATACAACGGTTACCAAAAGTCCCGAAATACAGCTGCTATTTACTACTTACCTCTAGAAACTTTTACATTTTGTTGTTTTAGCTCTTTACACAGTTCTAGACCGAGTTTTGTAGCATACAAATTCGCTTTTGGCTCATTTCTGGCTACCGGTCGATAGTAAAACATATTACCTTTTTCATCAGGTACTGGCGAAAGTTTTGTGGGGTGAGTTGATTTCTTTCCATCAGAATAGGTTACAGTTAAACCTGACGACGACACTATAACATTAACAAGATTCATATCTTTACAGTTTATAATTTGGCCGTTGGTTTTCTTAAGCTAACGCTGATTAGATGTTGCAAAATTTAACAAGTCGCGCATGTGGTAATTACATGATCGACAAACAGCTGATTGGCTATTATCAAGTTGCCGGATGATACGAGTATCAAACCGTCATTTTATTAAAAACGCGTACTGCAGATTAGGAAGTGATGTTACGAAAAAATAACATGACATTTGTAAATAAGCTTTTTGAGTAACCTCATAGTGGGTTTACTAATTTTCCCTATTGGATGCATAGAATATTGCTTTTTATTGGATGAAACATATTTCGCCACACTTTGAAACTTTCGATAACAGTACGCACGTTAAACCAATAAAACATATCGTTAGAGCAGTATAGGTTAACAAAAATTATATTATACAAAAATTTGCAAGGAATTTTTTTTGTTAGGACACGAAAAGCGGTTTCATAAATAAAATTTTGAGTTATTGAGAATTTAAAAAACTTCGATTCTTGCAATTTTATGTTACATCAGATCTTGTGATTTGCCCAATCAGAGATGTCGCTTACACACGACCAATCAGAAGCAGTGTTGGCCTATGACCTGTTATGACCTATTGGCCAACTATAGGTTATGATCTTATGACCTGTTATGATATAAAATTTACTATTATCGATCGACGGACATGTCCACCCCTGTAAGGGGCAACTGTATATCAATAGTAAACCAGATAATCATCGTATCTGATTTTACTATAGAATAAAGGGCAATAAAATTTTCTTGACATTAAAAAATTGCAATTAGCATAAAAAATTGTAAATTATTTTTAAATGATATTAATTTTTAAATGATGTAAATCGTTATATTCAAAATGAAATAATGTTTGGAACCTTGGGTTTTAATCCAACTTCGTTCAAATCTTGAAACACCTACCCCTGCAAAAAGGTAAAAGCCAAAATCAGATGATCATGATTACATACGTATGTATGTACAGTACGTAATAATTACTAACGCGCTAATGCTAATACTGGTACTGGTATTGGTATGGATTTATTCTTGTTTAATATGTACATACTTTCAATGCATGTGCTTAAATTTATTATATGCAAAGGTTCAAAATTTTACGCCAACAAATTTTTCAATAGTATTACTATTTTGTCACAAAAATTTTTATTTTTTTTTTTTTTT